TGTACTGCCCACCTTATCTTCGATTCCTTGGCGAAAACGGCAGCGTCCCTGATCTTCGATCGTTGGCGTAGTTCGGAACTCCGGATTCCCCTCTGCACTTGCGTGTATAGGGTTACTCCTAGCATCGTCCTCTCGACAGCGCGTTGGATAACGCTGACCGCATGCTCGTCCTGCCTGCGCAGAGTCCAAGTCTCTGAGGCGTAGGTTAGGGCAGGAAGGACAGCGGAATCGAAGAGGTGGGCACGGAGCCGGATGTTCTTCGTCTTCTTCACTACTCCCTCGATGTTCTTGAACGCTCCCCATGCCGCTCGTTTCCTCCTGCTCAGCTCTGGAGCTAGGTCGTTCATCATATTGATTTCCCGACCTAGGTACACGTAGCTGGAGCATTCGGTGATGTTCGTTCCGTTGAGCGTGAATGGGGCATCAGGAACCAATCCGTTTCTCATAAACATCGTCTTCGTTAGGTTCAGCTGCAGACCGACCTTACCACAGGCGCAGTCGAAATCAGCCAGCATTCGCTCCGCTTGCTCGATGTTCGGCGTTATAAGAACGATGTCGTCAGCAAAACGAAGGTGGTGTAGTTGCCGGCCGTCGACCTTCACTCCCATGTCTTCCCATTCCAGTTGACGCATGACGTTCTCGAGAGCGGCGCTGAAGAGTTTGGGCGAGATGGTGTCGCCCTGTCGAACCCCTCTCTTGACGTCGATGTACCGATGTGAAGTTCCTCAGCCGTTCTTCTTGGGTCAATCTTAGCGCTGACTTCGCCGACGATTGCTTCCTCACTAGTCCTTGAAATCAAGCACTTTGCTTTCTATAACGGGTTATCAAACTGCGCGATGGCCGCTAACCTGATTGTCGGAATACGGGCGGCTGCACCCGTAACTGATATGATCATCAATCTGTGAAAAAAAGTATTCGACAGATTTGGGGAACTAAAGAGGGAGCACCTTCTGAGAATATGATTCCATCTCACCTACGATAAGAAAATGGATTCAAAATACGTGCATCTGATATTCATCGC